TCTGCTTTCCATGTGGGACTCTGCTGTTCCATTCAAATATGATTATTGGGTTTAGTTTCTGTTTGTTTTTATAATCACACTATCATCTCAAGGAATTTTAAGAAAAACCCTCCCTATGGGAAATCTGCCTTTCACTTTGCAATATATGTGCCATTTATCAAAGGTCTGAGCCGTCAGGATTTTTGACCTCATGTTCCCTTTAGTTTCATAAAGTGTAGTCTGGTTACTCTGCAGAAACAGCACCAAAACCTTACCACAAATGGACTTTTGCCCAGTTTGAATAGATAATTACATTTACTATTACAGGTACTGCTACAGTAATATTGAAGTCAATGCTTTTTATAGATTCCCTCAGCACAGTTTATTGCAAACTGAACAAAACACAAAACCAATTAAATAAAACATCTACCAGAAGAATACATTTAGTGATCACTGGGCTCTACAAATGCTGAAACTGTATCCCAAAGAGTTATAGTTTTTAAATTAAACACAGTATCTGTATATCAAATACAGAAAAATCTGGATCAGTTAAAGATTTTGTGTGTAGCAACTTCTGTAGATGTGCAATAAACCTTCCTTTCTGGTAAGATGCTGCTAAATATTTAAGTCTGGAAAAAAATGTGTGCATATTTCTGTTTATTTTCTGTAACTAAGACCTACATGTTTATGACAGATCATGACATCAACTTAGGACAAATAAGCACCTGCACAGACTTACTTAATATTTTGACTACAAGCAAAAAAAGGAAATACTGTGACCATGAGAGTGCAGACTTGGAAGCAGCTGGTCCAAGTTCTGTTCACAACACTTTAGCAGTCTGCAAACTGCATGAAGAGCAGCCCATGAATCAAAATCAGTTTTGAATATGAGTCTCATTCTCCTCATATTTCTGCTTTGGCTTTGATTTTAATTTTTTTTTTAAATCAGCAGGTATTAATGCGGAATGGGAATTCTCCAGGAGGCTCAAAAAGAACATAGTTTTGCAAAGAAAGTTGTTTGCCTAGCACAAAAAAGCTCCTGGGATGACTATAAGGCCTCTTCTAAGGAGAAGCAGTGTTTTTAAAAGCTGTCATGAATTGATTATTTTTCCCCAAATCAGACAGGGTCGCATATTTTTAGTAAATCTGAGAACATACATATTCAGTTTAACACAGAAAGAGCTATTATTTTAGCACATTACCTGTATATATTCCAATGCACACCCCTATGTTATTTATCAATTACACAGATGTCAATTATTGGCCCTTCCCACAGTAAATGGTGTGCTGCACCACCCACCTGTTATGTCTTCAGTTTATGATATTTTAAGACTGGAAAGGAAATTAGTTCCATTTGCCTGAGCTTTTGTTAGAAAGTAAGAGTGCACAACAGATTTCTGTGGGCAGAGGGGACAGAAAGCAGAAATACTAATTGCTAGAATTCACTAACCAAATACACTCTTGCTGTTACAAGTACTGGCTTTGTAAGACTTGCCTCACTAGTGATGGCTTTGACTATACACCCCACTGCCAAGAAAGGTCGGGGACAGACTCCTCGTTCATGGAATCTATAAATAATTATGAAAGTACAAAATAAAATAATGAGGACACAAAACAGGAAGCATTTTGCATACCTCCCCGTTCAGCTCTCTCTTGACAAGGCAAGGAAGTGTACCATGATCTTCCCAGTGATCCAAGCTCACTTTACAATCAGTGCAACCATGTCCTCTGCTGTGCTACCAAAGCCACCATTTCTCTAATTCACAAAACTAACAGCATTACATGAGGATAATAAAGTACACATCAGACTTCTACAGCACAGAAAAGAAAGGGAAGGAGACAGGATCAATTTAATTTATAGCCTCCCTAGTTTCTTTCAAGACATCTCATGCAACCAAAAATCTCATGCTTCTATTATTGCAGCACAGGAGGATTTACACGACGTAAATTATTTTTTCAAAGCTCCATATGCACATCAACCTAAGCTCAATCCCTTCCAAATTTATTTATTTGCCCTTGGTCCATACACATGAGTACTCCATGGTAGCACTTTCAATGAACTATTCATGCAGGTGAACATGCCTCGGACAAGCAGCTGCCCCCTCTGCTTTTATGGTTATTTGTCTCTTCATCATGGAGCTCAAAGGAATAATCCTACTGCATATTTCTTCTTCATTTATTTTACTAGGTGAGGTGTTTAAGAGGATATATGGTCATCTGGAGCTCATCACTGTCAAATTTTCAGCCACACAGCTGTAAAGGGTAAAGTAACTAGTTTAGCTCCTTGGTTTACAAAGTGCTGAGTACCTCCAATGAGGTGCCAAACGTGCGTGGTGACACTTTAAGATTGCTGAGTGCCTCCTGAGGTTCACAGGACCTGATCCAAAGCCCCACTGTTAGGAATGACAGCCCTCCCCTCGACTGCAATGCGCCTGGGACAGAACAGCACTCCATGGCTCACGCCTGTGCCTCCAAGGCAAGGAGAGACTTACCATAGATTTAAGAACACAGGATAAGGTGCCAGGTTTGAGAAGCACTGGATCTTAGCATTCCTACCTCCAAACACTTAACCCAGGGTAATACAAATAAAAACATACATATCTACTTAAACAAACAGAAATTCGAGACTACCTTATATACGTTTGGGATCAGGTGCTGATTTTCAATTGTTTTAATCTCACAAACAAACATGCTCATCCTGCTTCCTTTGGGCTTACAAGAAAAGAAGGTGAAAAAAAAGCTGACAGTCATACTGTAAAACATCCAGTGCAAAGACTGGCTGCTTTCATTCGGGTTAAGACAGCAAAAAGTCTTTCATTACCACGTCAATTGTTCAAATACAGTCCCGCTTGACAGTAATAACTTGATGGCAGGCAGAGTAAGCAACATAATTTCTAAGTAACTCTGCAAAAGTATTTTTTATTAAGTGTATAAATACTGTAGAAAAAGTCTGCAGGCATTCATGATTAGTGCATCATCCTGCAATACTGAATTAGTAGAGAGCAACTAGGCAAACAAAAACCGAACTACATTGCAGCAAAGACTGTAACCACTTTCATTTATTCTGACAGTTGCCATTTATCTTTGCTTTTGAAGAGGCTACGTGGTAGTATTCTAGTAAGTGAGCTGTAGCATACTGTGAAAAAATAATAACATTTTAGCAATACAAGCCCTCGCTGCAGCATCTGTTATTAAATCTTTGCAGAGGCGAGGAGAGACTGCTAGTCATAACTGTGGATTAGCAACGTTCTACTATATTCATTTTAGAGTGCAGAGTGCTTTGCATGAAAGCTGTTACTTGCCTTTTATGTCAAAAAATGAACTTATGCCAACTTTTTAATACTGAATTCTTCAAAGAAGTAGTTCTAACAGTCTGCAAGCACTGTCCGCAAAAAAAGGCAGCAGTCTAATAGCAGAGAAATGGAGGAAGGGCAGCACCAGAATAGCTGATGCTGCTGATTTGCAACTCTCTCTTTTCACAGAAAATGACCATCATCTTGCACTTCCTTCCCGAGTAAATCAAAAACTGCCTTTGAAAGTGTCAAGCTTTATGATGCTGACTTCAACTCTGACACCTGATTATACAAGAGCGTTAACATAAGCGCTCAGTATGCTCCAGGGAATCACAGCATCCTCATCAGTGGAGCCTTAGCAGCTCCACATCCTGGCTGACTCGCTAGCAAAACAGGCAAAAAACAGGACTTGAGGTCCTAGAGAAAGGATGATAATTCACATACTTATGAGAAGTACAACACACGCACTCTGAACTGAGCCAAGTTTAAGTAAACTTTATGCTAAATTCACAAAGTTTAAGCAGAGTCGGAGCTTAGCTGAACTGTAGGGAAAACACTCAGGAGCTTTCCAGAAACACTAAAATCCTTCAGGACAAAGTTGATCTTGAGCCTTCATAACGATATTTTCCTGACTAAGAAGTTACACAGACAGTGCAAGGTGCTGTGTAATATTTACCCATGACGACCACTGTTATGATATAGTGTTTCAGTGAAGGATAAATCAAAAGCAGCAAATCCCTAAAACTACCCGTGCGAATACACACCCATTAATGGATCAATACATAAAGAAATGAAGACTAGCTGAAATTGAAAATGAGTTAAAAAATTACTAGGGGCGCTCACCGTGAGAGTTGCCGTCTAAATTAGATAAGTAATAAAGGCAAGACACACTTTTAACTGTGAAAAGTTGTGAACACTGACGCTCTAATGCAATTTCACTGGTTCCAGCGCATGATTTTTATCCACCGATGGGGCTGTAAAAGCCCCCTCGGAGAGCTGCTGCTATTCTGGAGCTTTGCGGGACGCCCCTCCGCCCCCGCGGCGCTCGGCGGGGCCGTACCGCTCACCCGCCCCTGCCGCTCACATCCACACTAAGCCCGGAGCTGCGTTTTATTTCATTTTCGGTTTGTTTCGGGTTTTTCTTTCCCCGGCGCTTGCGAAGACAGAGCGCGGCGCGGGGGAGATTACACAGAGATGACTGAATCGCGGTGAATCGATTAAGCCTCGACAATTTAATCTGGGACTTCATGCGGGGCTGGAGGAGATAATCCCCGCGCCGCAGTTCGCTCCTTTACCCGGAGACCCTGCCACAGCCCCGGGGGCACTCCGACCGCACACGGACACCGTTTCGCCTCTCCGGGGCTAAGCCGCCCTCCTCGTCCTCCTCGTCCTCCTCCCCCTCGCAGTGCGGCGCACATCGCGCACCCGGCCCCTGTGCGAGATGCGCGCTCGCAAACTTTCCAAACTTCTGGGGAAGTGGCGGGGGATGCGCGGGGCCGGCCCGACCACGGCGGCGCTTCGCCTCCCGGCGGCACCTCACCGGCCGCAGCCCCCCGAGCGCTGCCCGAGGGATCCCCGCGCCCCGGGCCGGGCAGCGGGCGGCAGGAGCACCGCGCCCCGGTCGCACCGAGCCCGGCGGAGCGCGGGCTGCGCACCGCAAGTTGGGGAAGCAAAGCAACGGCAAGGGCAGGGACCCCACAGCCCGCCCGCGCTGCCCCTCGCACTCACGCTGCTGTTCTCGCCCGTCCAGTGCACCATCGCCTGGTTGTGAGACGCGTCCCCTTTCAGCACGAAGGAGGTGCTGATGAGGGAGACCTGCTCCCGGCCGGCCGCCGAGGATGCTCTCCTGGAGCGGCCGCTCCCCGCCGCCTCCCTGCCGCCCGGCTGCGGCTCGGGCGGGCTGCGCGCCCCGCGGGTCAGGGCTGCGGGGCGCGGGTGGCCGCAGGGCTCCGCGCAGCGCGGCGCGGCGGCGGCGCCCAGCAGCGGCGGCAGCAGCAGCAGCAGCAGCAGCGGCGGCAGCCGGGCAGCCCCGCGCGGAGCGGCGGCGGCGGACACGCGTGGCCCGCCGTGCGCCATGGTGGCTCTCCGGCGTGGTAGTGACAGGCGGGGAGGTGGCGGGGAGGGAGGGAGACACCGCGGCGGAGGGCGGGGGCGGGGGAGGGCTGTAACCGGAGCGGGGCTCGGCGGCAGCGCCGTGCGCGGGGCTGCGCGCCCAGCCGGGGCGGCGCCGCCATCTGCTGGTCCGCGCCGAAACGCCGGGCGGGCTCCGGCACACACGGACACGGGCACGGGCATCGCGCCCCGCGGGAGCCGCGGCGGAGACGGGTCTCCCGGCGGCGGCAGAACCCGCCGCTTGCGAAGTTTCACGCAGAGCTCCGGGGAGAGGCTTTCCGAGAGCGCCCGAACGAGACCCTGGCAGCCCCTCGGGGCGGGTGCGCTGCAGGGCGAGGGGGCGCTGGGGGCGAGCACCCACCGCTGCCCCTTTGGACACGTGCGATGGCCCTGGTTTGGCCGTCGCTCCCATGAGGCTGCAGTGAAAAGATCGGAAGGGGTCTGTGGTCAGCAGAGGGGAACCGAGGAACAAATGAAGCAGGTGCAAAAATACGATTCATGTGATTAAAACAAGAAGCGCTTTCGTGGGGAAAAGGACCCTGTCCGTCCTTCTGCCCCTCAGCTCCTGGGAGGCACCAGGCTCGTCACGTGCGTTGTCCGGAGCCAATTGCTAATCCAGTGTTACCCACCGTGGGGACATGAGGCTTGTAATTTGGGATTGATCCATAGCAGCATGAGGAAATGCTCACGGCAGAGGGGCAATGACTGGGGCTGTGCAGCATAACTCAAAACTGACAGGTGAAGCAGTGGAAGAAGATTTAGGTATCACAGACTGAGTGCTCTTCCTGCTTCACTGCAGCGTGCCGTGTAACTGTGAATAAATTGGGGCTTGTGAAGCAGTTTGCCTCATATGTGAAGACGGCACAAGTTAGAATCCCAGAATAACTGAGGTTGGCAGGGACCTCTGGAGGACTCCTTGTCCAACCTGCTGCACAGTCCAGGGCCAACTCCGAAACTGAATCTAACTTCACAGTAAAATAAAGTTGCTCAGACCTGTGTCAGAAAAAACAAGTTTGAAAGACCACTGAGGAAAGTACTGACTCCAGGTACAGGCACCTAACAGAAGAGATCCGGGCTGGGTAAAACCAAGGTGAGTAAAGTTAATAAACCAGCTTTAGTTGTAATCTGCCTTTACCCTAATGGCCTAGAAAATTAGGATTACAAAGGCTTTTCTAGGAAGATTAATAGAAAAAATAGTATCCACTGGTTTAACTGTACCATTACAGGCCTGGGATGACTACCACAATGACCTAAAGTGACCTGGTCATCCCAAAGTAATGTAAAAATTACTTTCAGCAAGCTATATGATTTCATATTAGCTGTACACCTTCAGTGCTAGGAGACCTATGGTAACCTGTCCCGTTATTACTGTAATGGCTCAAACTAGAAGGCAGTTTCAAATTCAGAATGACTCTCCATTTCAAAAGAAATACAGAATAGAAGTTAAAATATTTTTTTTTAAATCCTGTGTGCTTTTTCTGCAGCTCTCAATGAAGAGTGAAGAACTTTCACAGTTCCTAGCACAGCCCCATAGTCTCAAAACAGCTAAAGGAACTAAAAGAAGAAATTGCCCCTTCTCTGTGAATCTCCAGCTGCAAGTTTTGGAGATTCTGCCCCAAATACCATGCCAGCAGGAGCTTGGGCAGCAGCAGGAACTTGGGTGGGCAGCACCACGTGGCCCAGGTCATCAGAAGTTGCCCCTGGGACTCTTGAAGGGGTGATGTATTGAATTCATTCCTGAAGGTATATCTTGTGTAAAGAGCAAGTTGATTAATTTTTTTTCTCAGATCTTGATTTCTGGAGACAATACCAAAAGCTCAGAAGGCCTAGGAGAAGCTATAGGGAGCTGTCTAAAGGAAGAGAAACACGAGCGTGAGATAAGACTGATCTTTGCATACATTTAGCTTTGTTACAGTGCCTTATCCCTCTGAAACAATACCCTTCCTTGTAAGAGGAAAACCACCCGGGTTTAAGTGGGCAGAAAGTTATTTTTCCAGACAAACCCCTTATGACTCTTGTAAACTAGTCTCAATGACAGCTGGTGGTCAAACGTTTGTTTGAATCCCTGCTGTTTGGCTGTGTTCTTTAGGGATGCAGAAGTTGGGCAGTGATTCAACAGTTCACAGAAGAGACACAGACAGAGAGTCATTCCCGTTGGAGTAACAGTTGCATATTGAGCAAGTGACTTTCCATCTTTGGCATCTCTGCACAAAAAGGAACAAGAGAAAAAAATGCAATGCGGAATTGTTAAGAAAACATTGACCAATCACAATTGTATCAACCAACATGAAGGGGTGATTTGCCTATTATTAGGAATTCGGTAATTTTGATTCTGACATTATGGTCTATCTCCTGTGAAATCGTGAAGATTACCCAACATTTGTAGAATAACCTAAAAATACTCAGAACGGGTGGAAGGGCCCGAGTCTCTACATGTTAAAACTGGCATATGAACCCTAATACTTCATCTGCCTGAATACAGCTGGACTTTGTTGTGCTCATTCATTTTGCATTCACCATTGTGTTCGACAGGTAGGGCTCCCAGTGAGCAGCAGCCAAGAGAAGAGATGGTAACATCCACATTCCTAAGTCAAGCTCTCTGTACCTGTCAGTTACTGGCATTTCCCATAATGAGACCTAAAAGGAAAAAAAAAACCGAGAAGTTGTCCCAGAACTAACGAAGCCTGCATTTCTCCAGCCTTGCACCTTATGGTCAACAGCAAGGTCTGCTTGACTCTTTCCCCACTGTCAGAATATCTTTTCCATGATCTCCACAGGAACCTAGCAAATCCACTAATAAAGTCCTCCTTTATCACAAAACTTGACATTTATTTTTGTGACCTCTCTAGTTTGCCAATTCAGTTGAAATTTTCTTATGGGTTCAGAAGTTGCAAATCTTGTTTAACTGGAACTTCTTAGGTGTTGGCAAAATGATGGTTTAGATTTAGTTTAATGATTTCTAAAGTAAAGAGGCTTCCCTAAATGTCTGTCACCTTTTATATCTCCTATAAACTCTGGCTCAGCAAATACACAGAGGCAAACAAAAAGACAAATAACTGAGTGCTACACACCTCTAAGCTCCTCTAGTCCCAGAACAGAAATAGAAAAGGTTTGAAAAAAATAGTGTTGTAAATTCAAGGCAAGTTTCTTCCTGTTAATGGCAGAATTATTAGTGCTATACTAATAAACATCTACTCACATTTTTACTGACTGTCAGATTATATTAAGATTTAAAAGGCTTCAATTAACCCACTTTATTTTTACTCGATTCATTTCTAATCAAAAACTGAAAGTATTAGAGAAAGCTTCAAGTTCTGCTTGGGCAGAAACCAAGATGCCATGCTAATATTCCTTTTGCTTGCAATTAAAAATATTGATAACAATTTATTCTATGTTTCATCCTCATAGCCTTCTTAGTTTGATAATGCAAGATGACTGCAGATGCACAATATGGTAAAAAATCACTGAAGAATTACCCATTTAAGCATGCTTCTTGTACAGTGTTCACCTCTTTTAAAGGTTGATTTAAGTTAATGTATCGAGATGCATTTAGGATACCTTATTCCATTAATTAGATACAAAACAATTTTCAGTTACATTGTGTTTATGTTAACAACATCATTAAGAGCACAGTGACCTGCAGGGTTTTTGACAAAATGCTCATGCATGAAAGCAACTTAATCTCACACGTATCCTATCAAAATGCCTGACTCCAAAACAGCCCTATTACTCACTGTGACCACATTCTAAGCTAACAAATTAATACATGCCAAAGCTTTATTGCCTTGTTACCCAATTAACAAAGCTCAAATGCTTTATTTGTGTTAAATGCAAATTATTATAAATAATGCCATACCCTTATGCCAAACAGCAGAGGTTTTATTTGGCTAGGCCTCTCAAAATAATTTCTATTTGTATTACTACAACTACCAAAAAAAACCTTTCTATATTCAACAAATCTAGGTGTCTTAACACTTTTCTCAATAGTTGTTCCATTTGAGAGAACAAAAAAATCAAGCAGGTGTCAGATTGTTTTGTTCACATTAATTCATTGATACATTGCTGTCACCAGTCAACCCAGATGCCCACAGAAGAAAGCCTGATTAATAGGAAGCATTCCTTGTCACTAGAAAAACAAAACTCTACTTCTGTGGGCAGTTCTGAAGTCAAAAAAGTAAGTAGCTGCCTTTGTTTTATGAAGAACTGACGAAGCTACAAAGTACATGTTCAATTATCCTGTTCAAATTTGAACAATAAAAAAGAGTGGATTTCAGTGTAGTGTATTGTCTCTGATGATTACAGGGAGTTCTCTTCAGGTATGGGTGTACTGACATACACTTACGAGAAAAAATTTGGAAGAGCTGTAAATGATTTGAGGAAAAGCTGAGTAGCTTCCAATTTTACCAGGATCCAGTTAGCAAATGGCATGTTTGCAGTAAAAACTGACACAACCACACACTAGGCCAGTGTGTGGTCACACACTCCCAAAAACAGGGAGTCACTGAGGTTGTCTAGAAACCTTATTCTTTGAGCATCATCAGCTCTCCTCTAATTCAATGACATAACTGAGCTGCTCAGCACCTTGCAGGACTTTTACTAGTGAGTAGGCGAATATACACTATAATTTTCTCTAGTTCTAGCTCATAAAATTAAAGGGAAAATAGTTGTAAAATTACTGTCACTTAGCAAACAAGCTGGCAATAAATACAAGCTGCCTTAAGGAAGTTTTATCTTCCATCAATCAGAAGAACAAAAAAATACAACTAACCTGTATACATTTGTTATGCCACAAAGCCTGAAACAGGGCTTAGTCTGAAACAGAAAATGTAAGGTGAAGCGTAATGTTTTGGTGGGTGTTGTAAGATTACCTGTCTTCAACCTTCATAATTTCTCATCAACAATTAATGAGCAGAGTTCTGAAAACATGAGAGAATTGGATTCATTGTCTACAAGAGCTCACAACAGAACAAAAGGTTTTTCTTTTATGAGACCAGCTAGACTGTGGGAACTTGTGTTTTTCCTGCCCTAAAATTCAGTGAAGTTTATTTGAGAAAATATGGAAAGCTGAGAAAAGATTTGGGTATTTAGGTTATTAAAATGGGATGTGAAGGATATAATTCTC